TAGTCCATGAATAGATAGGGATAGGATATAAAGAGGATATGACAAGGAAAAGAAAAAATGATATAAAACAATTTATTAATATAAAGAGAAAGAATTTTTTTTTTTTTTTACCAGGTAGATGGTTAGGAAGTTAGCAGAGTTAGTTTGTTAGCAGCTAGAATTTTTTCAGGAAAGTGAACCTTCCACCCCCTCGTTTGAGGCGCGCGACCTAAGGTGGAGTTCACGGCGGTGCCAGAACTCGAAACCCTGACCTCCGTCTCACCCAAACCCTAAAGCTTGGGAGCCAACCAATTGGGCTACAGGCCCGGTTGGTATATAAAGAGAAAGAATAGATAGAAGTGATTGATAAATTTTCATAATTTATTAATATAGTAACAAATTATGAAGGATAATAATTGATATATCATCGGATTTAATAAATTTTAAAATATATTTATTAAAAAATTATTATTTTTAAGTTTAAATTAAAAATAAGAATCTTTAGACTATTAAAATTTATAATTTTAAGTTTCTTGATTTAAATTTCAATTTAAAAATAAAAATTCTTAATAAATATTAGTAAATATATTATATTGGAAGTATACTAATTATTTTTCAATTATAAAAATTTGTCTTTACATTTTAAAAGTAAATTGATTAGATTTGTATGCTTAAGTCTTTTTGTACATCTATCATTCATACTTTCTTAATGAATTAAAACATATAAAATTACTAATTATAAAAAATACTTTGAGAAATATTTACAATTCATTATTATTATAAAAATTTAAAAATAATAATTAAATAAGACTTATAAACTAAATAAATTATAAACACAATAATAACAATTTATATAAATAATAAAATTTAAAAATAATAATTAAATAAGACCTATAAGTAAAATAAATCGCATCTGCAATAATAACAATTTATATAAATAATAAATTCAAATATAAAACACACATAATAATAACATCTTATATAAGATATTTTTTTCCCTTAAATTAAGAATATAAATATATATTTATAAGTTACTTAATAACATATTAAATTAAATACTATATATAAATCTTTAAGTATGAAATTAAGTTTTAAATGTAAAAAAACATACTTAAAAATTTT